ATATGACTGTGTTATGATAATCATTTATATTCCTAATTCATAATTTTGTCTTGTCTATGCACATTTAATTTCGTGTGATATCAAGAGATGTTGATTCTACTTAGATAATATAGTAAAATACGCAATAATCTATATATTTCTTAAGTCGCTCTGTATACAATATGATTTTATTATTAAACTATAAAGTATTTTAAAAATTACTTTGTAGGAGACAACCAACTTTATTGAGAGATTTCAGTCAAGAAGGGAGCCATTTACTTGATTTGATATGTCATTGTTTTCTTCATACATATCTCAGACGACAACAAACACAAGATATCATTCAAATAAGTTTCTTGTTATCTGCAACAAAGTTGAAGGATTCAGGAATCAAGCTCAAAAAAGCCACAATAAAAATTTGTTGGATATAAAATTTGTTAGTGGAGTTTTTGAAATACCACCTATAGTAGTGCACTAATACACAGAAAGTCTTTTGAGGAACATCACTGCCCTCGACAATTGTCCAATTGACACCACACAACACGTTGCATTCTATGCCATGCTCATAAAGAGTATGATTTGCTCGAATAAAGATGTTAAGCCACTCAACAAGTTGGGAATTTTGACTAACTACGACATCAATGAGAAAGACGTACCTAAACTTTTTGAAATATTGTACAAAGATGTAACCGTAACTGATTTTTATTATAATAGTTTGTATGAGCAAGTAAATGGGTATAAAAAACCTAGTTGGCAGAATCGGTGGAAGTTAAGAAAAAAGAAGAATAAGAATAACAAAAATCTCATAAGTAATCATTTACCACGTTCTATGTCTGTTATTGTTGTTCTTATTCTTATTTTTTTTGACATTTTTTAAAACTATATTTTATATTCTGTCATTTACTCTTTATCGATCATAAGTGAAAAATATAAAAACCACGCTTACTTACAAAAATGGTTATGTTAACGGTTCATCGCATTTCACTGTCGTTTAATTATTTAAAAAATTAAGAACTATTTGTTATATTTGTCATTTTTTAATTTCAATTAATCTAACCTCATGGCATAACATATACCACTTTTTTAAAAAAAATATTTATTATACCATTTATAAGTCATCTTACAATAAATATTTGATTAAATTAGTTTAGTTATTGACAATAATTTAATTGATACTTTATTTTGTTTGTTTATTAATGGTATTAAACAAAACGCAGCGTTTCACACTTGCTCTTCGGCTTAATTAATGTATTTCTGCATCAAATATTCTTAAATGGACCGCTCATTTTTTTTTTTTTTTTAATAATTTATTTTATACAAATTGTCCTAAGTCAGACTCGAACCTGTATTCTGGAGGTGACCGGCTCTAATCGTCAGGACCTTTTGGACGCAACGACAACATGAATTATTTTATTATTGAAAAGTAAGAGAGACGCAGAGTTCCCACTTTCTCATCAGACCACTAAAATACAAATCCACCGTCTGATCTTGTCCATCAATAACCACTCTGCGCTAATTCTCAAAGACAGAAAAATCCAACGGTTGACGCGTGTTGAAATCATCCATCTGCATCACACATGGCAAAACCCCATCCCCCATCGGGCCCCAGCGCGCACTTTCACTTACTTTGTCTTCTCTTCTTCTATCCTCAGGCTGGCCGCAGCTTGCGATCTTCTTCTTCGTATAGAAACACAGATCAAAAAAGCCAAAGCTCCAGAGGGATATTTACCAAATATAAAGGTCTGAGGGATATATTTACCTTATATATTCACGTCTACGTACATATTCTATCAGAGAGAAAGAGAGAAAGAGAGAGGGATTCTGAAGAATAGAAAGAGAAATGGAGGAAGGGAGGAGAGTAGGTGTGGCGGTAGATTTCTCGCCTTGCAGCAAGAAAGCTCTAAGCTGGGCCGTTGACAATCTTATCCGCGAAAAAGATCACCTTATCCTCATCACGGTGCGTCCTGAGGGCAATTACGAGGAAGGAGAGATGCAGCTCTGGGAAGCCACCGGCTCTCGTGATTTTCTTTTCACTATTTCTCTCGGCTGTTACTTTCTGTTCGATTTTAGGGAAAAAATGAGTTTTGCTTTTTGAGGATAAAAAGACAAAAGAGATGTTTTCCTCTTTTTTAAACAATAATCTTTCCAGATTCTGAATCAATTGAAATATACATGTTGATTCTTTTGGATTTTTCATGAGTTTGACCTTTTTGAGCTATGGTTATCTGATTTTTCTTTGGAATTCTGGCCTATTTGTTGGTTTGATCACTATTCATAATCGCCTTTGGTTATAATATTTAGTGATTTTCTTTTCTGTTCATTCCTGTTTTTGATCTCCACTTTGAACTGTTTCAATTTCACTTTAGGATATCTTATATGACTTTTTTAGTAGCCAAGCAACTTAGGTTTTGGCTTGGTGCTTGGAAAGTAAATGTTAGCAACTTTAGGGAGCCAATAATTGAAGGATTGGTTGAGTAATTAAAATCTTCAATCCTCTCTCTCTCTCTCTGAGTAGACAATCATTTCATATTAATATATGCTAAAAAGATTTATTTATACAGTCACCAAAATAGGTTTTGCTCAATAATTTCATAACCGATAATGATTTAATTAACACAGACGTGATAGGGTGTAATAATGAATATTAGAAGTGTAATTAAAATTATAAAATCCCAATTATCAATCACTGAATAGTTGGTACATTTGTAGGTTCAAGTCGAGTTTGGCTCCTGCATGTGTTTTCGTTTCGAGATTATCTTTATTGTATTATAATTAGTGTATGTGTATGACTTTATTCGAAAAGAATTATAAAATCCGAATTTGAAACATTGATTGAGAAACACAATGTAAAATTCACCTTAGTTCTTAGTTTGACCTTCCTCAAATGTCATATGTGCAGCTTTAATTCCTCTAAGTGAGTTCTCTGATCCTGTTGTAATGAAGAAATATGGAGTTCAGCCTGACCCTGAAGCGCTGGATATTGTCACCACTGCTTCCAGGCAGAAAGAGGTATTATATTCTAATCCATAAACTAAAATACTTAATTAACAGCATTTAAATTCTCAATCAAAAGATTAAGCCATGTGGTGAACATGAACAGGTTGTGGTGTTAATGAAGATCTACTGGGGAGATGCTCGCGATAAGATAACTGAAGCCATTGAGAATATCCCTCTTAGCTGCCTTGTAATAGGCAACAGAGGACTCGGTGGAATTAAGAGGTACGACGATATAATCCAGAACTGCATTTTAACTTGATAATCGTTCTTACACTGTTCTTGGTAGAAATCAAGAATTTTTGTGGAATTTATTTAGAAATCCAAAACTAGTTTAACTAAGAGTTTGAAATGCAATGTTCCAATTCCAATTGAGATTTACTGAGAGGTCTTTTATTTTTTTAATTTTCTCATGGAATTCTCGTTGTACTTCCACATGAACTCTGTAAAAATTCAAGATTTATTCTGAACATAGCCTTAATCATTTGTACCTAAGTTTTAGGCTCTTTGAATATTGTCTTGCAATTGGCTGAAGTTTGATGGGCCTTTTGAGACCATGATTTTGATATCAGCTTAAACTTCTTTTCCTATTTGAGTGTTCTGTGGAATTTTCTCATCTCTTTCTCTAGTAACAGAAATTTAACTTCTTAAAAGCATTTTCCAATGCCGTCTCTGCAACTGTGGCAATTTTTTTCCGTAAAAGATTATTTGATTTGGAAACATGGCCGAGATGTAACTTGTCTCATAGGTCAACATGGTCTAGAATTGACTCGTTAAACCAGCTAAAACATGCTGGTTTGATTCAGTAACATAGCGAAGATGTAGCTTGTCTCATAGATCTACATCGTCTACAATTGACACATCTCACCAGCTAAAACATGTTGAATTTCTGTATGTAATTCTACAGGGCTATTATGGGAAGTGTAAGCAATTACGTGGTGAATCACGCGAGATGCCCTGTTACTGTCGTGAAGAGTCCGGAGCATCATTAGCTAGCTCTTTAACTCTGCATGGTCTCGGGGAATGAAAGTAGCGCAATAATCCCTCTGGTTGAACTGGATTTCTTTTCATCAACCAGACTCTTTTCACGCATATGTGATTGAAATATGTTATTTCTATTGTGTTATTTAAGTTGGATGGATATTATTATGTGTTGATGGGGTTTGTGTATGGAATCATTTTATAGTGTGGGCTAAGTTTTAGTGTCCTTGAACTGGTTAATGATTGTCTTGTAATTGGAAGCTAGTGATGAAAGTTATTCCTGAAGCTAATGTTTTTTTTGTGAGATATGTAACGACTCCGAAAATTTTAAAAGAAATAAATTATAAATTAAGTGCAGAAACAAAATAAATAGTTAACATTTTTTACACAATGACTTAAAATACAAAATAGAGTTACGGAAATGATTCTTTTGAGATAAATACGAGAAATTAAAGAAATAATCGAAAAATAAATAAAACTGGCATCCTACTTTTAACTTTTTTATAGATCGGGGTCTGCATCCTGATTCTCTTGATCTGAAATGGTTAATAAAAAAGTGAGATACACTAATTCAGCAAAAATATCATATTATTCACCAACATATAAATGAAGGTTGGTAGAAATAATAAAAACAATTAATGAAGTTTTTAATTTTGTAAAATTGTTTATCACAAATAAAATTATTTATTATTTACTTATCGTAATAAAATTTATAAAAACAACCTATAAAAATAATGATATAACACATTTTACAATTTCATATGCAATTGATTGAAATAATAATTTTTTCTTTTATCAGCTTATTGATATTCATGAGGGTTCATATCGATGTCTCCACAACGCATGAACTCTTTCCTTTAACATTTTCAATTAATGGGTCGTTCTCATACCCTATCCGGTGTGAGTGCCAAATTACTAAATTTCAATACCTCGTTCGGTATGAGGGTGATACAGGTTGTCCTTATACCCCGTCCGGTATGAACGCTAAATTACCAAATCTCGATACCCTGTCCGATATTAAGCAACATTTATAGTAGGGTTACCTATATACCCGGTCTGTCCGTGATCTTTCAGGATATCCAGTAAAACTGTTGTTTCGTCCATTCACTTAATCAAACAATTTTCTGTTTATCTTTAATTTCTAATTTCTCAATTCAACCATAATCACATAAAGTAAGCAATACATGCATTCAAACTATAAAATCAATTAATTATCATGCATTCAAACTGTAAAATTACTTAACAGAATCAATAGTGAATAATTACCAGTTATGTCTCCATTAGTGACCTGTAATTAATTATAAATATTTTTTAAACTGACCAAAATACCGTATTATTATTATTAATTAGATTTCAATTATATAACAGAGAATAAAGTAAATGATTCTTACTCTAATTGATACCTGAAATGCTAAACTTATTGACTGCGTATACCGGCGGTTCCTGAGTTCTGTAAATTTTTATTTGGGGATTAAAACGCGCTGCAAGTATCTAAAAATATATCAAAAATCCAAAATCAATGTTATGAACCCTTTTTGGCCAATTCTGGAACTCCGGCACGGTGGCTCCCGCTGTACTCTGGCGACAGCACCGTCGCCCATGATGGCGGTTTATATCGGATCGGCTGTTTTCGACCCATTTTGTATCAATTCTTGCTAGAAAATACGTTAAGGAGTCTCGGTTTGTTGAAAAAAAAATAAAAAATTGAATCTTACCAGCAGCGGGGTTCTCCGGTACAGCAGCTCCACCGGTTCACCTTTACAGTTGAATGTTTTGCTTCAGTTAACCTGTAAAGAAGGAAATGATGATTACAATAGTGAGAGAATTATACAGAACGGGAATTGGGAAGGGTCTCCTCGGAGGTGTTTTTTATATTTTTTCGGCGACTGGCTCTTCTTCTTCAGTGAGGGTGTTTGACGGTTAGGGTGTTTGACCGTCCATTGCGTTTGATCTGTACTATCCGATCGCGATTAAATAAAGAGTGAATCTGAACTGTTCATCGCGATTAAATAGGGAGTGAATCTGAACCGTTCATCGCAATTTAATTTAGGTCGTTCGATCGTATTTAAATATAAAATAGAAGATGGATCGTTCATCACGTTTAAATCTGACTGTCCGATCACGTCTGGGGGAGGGAATGGATCCGGACTATCTGTGCGTGCGAGAACGGATCTGCACTGTCCGATCTCGGGCACGAGGATCGCTCACGTGGCCTCCTGCATGACATCGCATCAGCTTCCCTCGCCATGCGGCTCGCTCCGATTCGTCGAGACTGCTGACTGAGCGTACTAGTGACATAAATTTTTTAAATTTTCTTTAAAAAATATCTTCAGAATCCAAATTTTCATAATTTTTTTTCAAAATTATTTTTAATTTTATCATCCATTTAGTTTTCTCCAATTTTATATTAAATAATAATTAAAAAAATTTAAATTAAATTATATATATATTAATTTAAATATTAAAATTTAAATTTCAGATTAATGATTGTCTTGTAATTGGAAGCTAGTGATGAAAGTTATGCCCGAAGCTAATGTTTCCACGTGAGATCAGAAGTCAGAATAATCAGTTCATATTTCATTTACGCAAAATAAATCACGTATGTTTTAATTATTTTAAATTCCTATAAAATTTTACAAAAAAAATTAATATTTATTATTTTTAATAATATTTTCGTCATTTTTATTTAGAAATAAATATAAATGAATTTTTATTTGGACTGGATTCTCGTCTTCCCATTTTTATTAATCATCATTAATTTTTATCATTTTTAATAATATTAACAAAGGGGTATCAGAATATAAAATAAATTAATAGAGGAAAATGAGAAATTTTATAAATATAATTATTTTATTCTTAAATATTTGTTAAAAAAAATTACAAAAATAAACTTTAAAATTTAGTAAATAGTAGTACGGAACAAAAGTACTGTTAAAATAATTATTAATTAAAAAATATTTGATATTTAATAGAAATAGTTATAAAAAATATTATTATTTTTTAAAAAATAATTAATTTAGTGAAAATTATTTTTAAAATTTTTAAATATAAATTTTTCATTTGAAACTATACTAATGATTTTTGACTTTAAATTACAGCAGAAGACCGAGTCAAACACTCAGCCCCAGCCCCTTCAATGGCTCAAGACTGAGTTTACTTTCTTTAGAATTGGAGGTGCTAAAAATGGAACTGATAGCTGGAGATAATTAAGAGTCAACATGAACTAAACAAAGCCAATACACCGGATCTAATCCCATAAGACTATTTTTAATGCCAAAAACTACGTATTTATATGCTCTTTATCATTTCCCATTTCTCCACTTTCTTCTCCTGCGAAAATATATCGCCCAGATAATTTTTTCTTCTTCAGAAAAAATTATTCTCTTGATAAGAAAGCAAACATGGAGCTTAACAATAGTAACCCACAGCTTGTCGTCATTACAGTCGCCATTGTTGTCTTCTTCGTTGGCTCTTCACAAGCCATCTGCGTGCCACGTGATCGTTCCTCACCTTGCTCTTCTCCACCTCCTGGACACGCCTCCTCGCCCGAAGCTTCTCTGGAATTTGAAGATCCGACGGCATCTGATTCACCATCTTCTTCCTCTTCGTCTTGGAACTCATTATCATCATCGCCATCACCATCACCATCACCATCACCGTCACCATCATTATCATTATCACCATCACCGTCACCATCATCGTCACCATCTTCTTCTTCTTCTTCTTCTGAACTCAAAGAAGTGTGCAGCAAAACCGACCACCCAGAACTCTGCAAACTCACGCTTGCACCTTTCTTGACGGGCAAACCCAGCCGTGCATCTCTCGTCGAAATCGCCATAAAGGCCACGAATGAGATGACAAAGCGGGCCGTGACCAAGGTGTCGAGGATTGCTGAAGGAACCAAGGATGCTTCCACGGCTTCCAGTCTTGAAGACTGCAGAGAAAGCTACGACGACGCACTGTCCAATCTACAGAACGCCGTGGACGCACTCGTCGGTCACGATATCGGGACAGTTAGCGTCATGCTCAGTGCAGCTTTGCAAGATTACAGCGCGTGCGATGATGATTTCGAGGGAGGAACTAACCCCATGGCAGACATGGATAATATGTTGATGCAGATGACAAGCAACTGTCTCGCCATTGCTTCACTTGTTTAATAGCTTTTAAAATCACGCCATTGTAATTTTCTTCTGGGTCAGCAGAGCAGCTTTTCTTACTTTTTATTTTTCTGGCGAGTTGCTTGTAGCTTGATTGAGGCAGTTATTGGAATTCATTTGAGACAAACAAGAAATCAAACCAAGCAAAAAAAAAAATTAAAAAAGAACTCATTAAACCCCAAGGAACCAGGAAATCAAACTACGAACACTTTTAATTACAAGATTAATTTCTTTGAGGAAATCTTAATTTTCTCCTCCTTTTTCAATGCAGCCCTTAATAATTACAAAGTTAATCAAAATTTTAATACTATACACATTCAAATTTCAATATTATTTATAGTATAGAAATCAAATTCAGCAAAATTATTTTAATTAATGTCACCATAAATTGAAATAACAACCCTGACGTTCGTTGAAAGTGAATTCTGATAATACTTATCGTATTGCAACCAATCTTACATGCTGTGTCAGACTTATTAGAGATAAAGATGGTGCTTACCTGAGAAGTTTCAGCAGGAAAATTGGTAAATACTCTGTTCTTCAGGTTGAGATTTAAGATGTTTTCGATAGTTTTCAACTTACTTGTAATGTTAGCTTCTGTAATATCATTTTAAAAATAGATAGTGTTTTAGCAGTGTAATTATTCACTAAGAAAGGTTACGGTATTACTGCACATGCCGCCCTCGTTCGTGCGATCAAACATTCGTTATTACAGGATTGACAAATTCAAATCCAACATGTCTATCAAAAAATGAATAAATGTACTAATTGGTTGACGAATGCTGATTTCTCTCTACCGATGGATCTCTATTCTCATGTTCAAGTATCGAATGATCACCGACAATTCTTCACTGACAATATCATGGGTGTCTCGCTGCGATCTCTTAATTGTTTTTTTTTGGCTTTTGTCTCTTTTTGTACTTAATTGTTCTGTTTTTCTTGAGGTAGAGAGGTGAGAGAGAGGGAGAGAGAGAGAAAATGGCGGTTCTTTGGGCCCAGAGCCAAAAGCCCACTAGGGCCGTTCAATGATTGACTGCCTTGCTCACATCACATTTATGATTTTTATCTCCCTCTTATCAGAAAAAAAGATTCGCCAGAGATTACAGGAGGTGGTGAGAAAAAAAAAAATAAAAAATACAGAGAAGAATGGAGGAGATAAAGAGTCTCAGTCACAGGAACGTGCTTTATCAAACCCATTCCCAAAATGCGATAATGTACTATCTCTCAGAAACTATTAACTTCGCTCCACTCCTCAAGAACCCTAAATATAAACTTGAAAAACAACGAGCGCTTTCTCTTCACTCTGTACTTCTTATTCTTCTCCGCTATAGTTTCTTCTCTTCGCTCTGGTAAGTATCTATCTGGAACTTCACAAGTTCTATTTCTTCTCTTAAGCTTGAATAAGTGGCGATGAATGTAGATTCGAGGTTCCTGTTTGAGTGCTGTAAAAAGTGAGGAAAAGGGGAGGGAAACTCATTATTTTGGCCGCATAACTTTTGCTGGTTTTGTTTCCACTTTTTTACCTTTAGCCATACAAGTTGACCAAACAACCAAGCGTGTATCTGTTTGCGTTTGCGTTGATTACTTCCATTGAGATTTTCTTTTTCTATTGTTTTTGAAGTTCTGCATCAAGTGTTACAGAATGGTATTCTAAAGTGGAATTACAGTCCGGTGCCTAATTTTATTTTTGTTTACAAATTTTATATTTAATTATTGTTGATAGATGTTCTATTCAAATTTGTTGTTTGGCCTTTTAGTAATTTACAGCCTTTTTCAAATTTTTGTACATGTTGATTTCTTCTAGGTCCCTTCTGTACTAATTTTCTTTCCATTTTCAAATTTCTAAATCTAATTTTGTATTCTTGTTGATGTGTAGAATTGTTCCAGTCACTCATACTTTGAATTCTTTGGTTAAGCTTTTCTAATTTCTATTCTTGAATGGGTATTAGAAATCGCACCCCGAGAGAAAAATACTGAGGTGAGATTAGTTGTGGTTCAAATAGGAAAACCATGATGTAATTTACTTGCAGATACTAATTGAAGAATTAAGTGTAGGGAGTAACTAGGAATATAATGGGCATTTAATCGAAATGGGTATTGATGTTTAATGTAACCCATGCAATTGTTTTGTGTTCATAATTGTTTTACTGAATTTAAGAGCATTTCTTTGTTAATTGAGAAAACCCAAATGCGAAGTGAAATGAATATCACTTTGGTAGCCAACTGAATGAACTTGAGCAAGCCTGTGGTACTGAAGTAACGATTTTTTTTCTAATGTTTGCTTACCCATGAAATATAGGTTCTCCTGTTCTTTCGGTTTCTGAAAATTATTGTTGTAACAGCTCTCTGTGGCTTTTGCTTTTGAGAATTTACTCCGGGGTATACAGTGTCCAAGATCTGCTGTAGTCGGTGTTTGGATTGTGTTGATCTTTCTCTACCTGTTTCACCACATCGGTGTTGCAAGCTGTATGTCAATGGAAAGCTCAGAAATATCTAGTTCTGCTGTTCACTTTGCTGTGAAGAAGAAGAGGAGCTGTTCATCTTATCGTCCTCGCAATATTTCAGAGGCTTTAGATAGCTATATTTTTCTACCACCATCAACACAACCTGTCAGCAGTCTCAGCAATGTGGAAAATCAAAATTGCAGGGATAGAATGGCCAGTTTGGAAGGGTCGGGAGGTGAGAACAAGCTTAAGCTTAAGCTGAAGTTTGGTGGTGTAACTCATACAATCCACACCAAGCCCACAGTAGATTTTCTTGATGGTGGTTCGGCCGTTTAAAACCCTCTCACTATTTTGAGATGCCTCCTTCACAACGAAAGCCACTTTATCAGGTATCTTTCTTTTTTTTGGAGTAATCATTCGCAGGTAGTTTTGACTGATTTTTATGATCATTTTTTTTCTTCCTTTAACCACTATCTAAGCTCGAATATCTAGTTTTGCTTTTGTAGAAACCAACTGATGTAGGCAGAATATGAAGTACTGCAAGTAGGAAGAAAATATAGAATGGAGGAAGAAAATAGGAGAGGAAAGGAAGGAAAAGATAGGAAATAGCAAGAAAAGGGAGAACTGGAGAT